GACTGGCCACCCAAACAGCAGTCTCCAGAGAGGTTGTACAATATTTGACTTCATTCTAAACCATAGGGATCAACAATTCAGGCTAGGAATTAGTGCCTCACTCGACAGCTCACTCTGCTGCTGTCCATGCAGCACTAACTCTGTAACACAAATATTTGTTCAGTCTCTTGAGACTCCCATCTCTCACACAGAGATTAACTTTTGCTTCCTTTTTGGGATTGGCTGGTTTGTTCTTTTTTTACCATGTTCGTGCAAGGAATCAAACCAATCTGATTTTTAAGAGAACTTCATTTATACTCAAAACCTCTCCAGAAAGCAACAGTGTGGCTACATTACTCACAGGAGACCAATGCTACCTTCTACTCACAGTGAGGCCATATCGGGGGATACTGAAGTACTTGAGCCAGTTCAGCCAACCCATTACTGAAGGGAGGTTCACTAAGAGGCCTGAGAAGATCTGAAATAGAACAGAAGAGACTGATGAGTCACAAACTATTTACTGCACACTCCTGCACAGATGCTGCAGTCGCCCAGCAGAGGCGCACTGGGGTTGATGGACCTGCTACTGCTGTCATGCCTGTCCCTATAGGCATGAGGTTGGAGCCTCGCAGCACTCCCAACCAGCTGGGCCAACAGCAGAGCCAAGTACTTCAGCTGAACTGCATGCAAAGAGGTCAGAAAGGTTTTATTTGTCCACATGTGAGCTAAGAAGCACACACGCTCACAGTTTCTTACTCATGAGGACTGTGTGCTATGGTAGCGCTAGCCAGAGGCTAAAGAAGGATGACTGCGAGATGAGAAAGTGGAGAAACAAGAACCAAATATAGGGAGCCTTAAGGGCTATTACTGTTTTCAGTTTTCTCCTCTGGCTTACATCTTTCATCCATGCTCTCTCCTGCCTGAAACAAGATTTGCTTTTACTTCTTAGCACAACTGGATGTCATAGCTAAGCACAACACTTCAGCCTCTCCTTCATCACAAGTGATCTTGCGCTTACCCCGCTGTCTTTCAAGGCATGCATGTGCCACTCCTTATATACTGTGACTTAACTGAATGTACATCAGCTGCCCTTCACTACACATGCACACTTCTCACCCACAGCAAGCATTTGAAGCAGTACACTATTACTTGGCTTATTGCAAAAGGAGATTAAATTGCAAATCAAAGAATAAGGGATGTGCAGTGGCTCAGAGTATGCACACAGTTACCAAGAACCATCTGACAAGAATATCTAACTTGATAGCGTCACCACCACCTCTTTGAAAAAGAATCACAACTTTCATCTGTGAGTAGTCAAAACTCCCTTTTCTCTCTCTTGCTCTCTTCCTTAAAAGTCCTTGAGGAAGAGTATTGAAGTAATTTCTTGAACTCAAGGGCAATACTGAATTAAAGAGAGTGTTTGCTCCTGCTAATCCCACTGGGCAATAAAAATTAATGCAAAAAAAAAATAATCAACAGATCTAGTTTATTTCAGGATTTTTTTCCTTTTAAATGATCTAGTTGATCACTTAGATTTCTAATACTGGAAATGCAAGATTTTTTTTAAATCAATTTTTGTAAGGACAATTTAAGAAAAAAAACCCAACACTTTTTTAGGGGGCACACTGTTTGGAAAGCTCTGGTGGTATCACACCTACTGAATTGCACCTCAGCAATGATCTGACCCTCAGATTACAAGCTGGCAAGAGAACATCTTTGACTATAGTGACAATAAAATCACAGGCATGGGACTGACACCCCACTGGACTACTGATTTTTAGCCTGCCTATGGCTGGCTCAATGCAGTCCAGTCAGTTGACCTCAGCTCTTTCCTCCTCTCCACCAAAGGAGCACACACCCCCTTATATACTCACAAGCATCAGGACAAAACAAATCGTGATGAGCAGATTGGCCACAGCCACCACATCCATCCCAGCACTGATAGCCAGAGACATGGCTGTGGCAGTGTAGGACACCAGTACCAGGGTCAGCATGAAGAAAAAGAACCGTCCTGCAACAGCTTGGTATCCTGTCAAAAACCAGAAAGGTCAAAGTCCAGTAAACAACCACATTATGATTCCCAGAGAGGTACCTTGGACTCCTATACAAGACAGGCAAAGCAGGAAGGCCAAGTTTGAAGCTGGCAGGAACTGTGCATGCTCTAAAGGCCCAAAGAGCATTACCAAAAGATGTTGTCAGGCAGGTCCCTGTCTTAGATTGCTGGTGTCTCTGCCCCTGCCCCAGAGTCCTCCAAAGTTATGATGGCAAGCACTACAATAAGCTGAAGGTTTGAGTAGCTTCATGTTACAGATACAGGAATTAAGCTCTGGCTAAGTCAGAAATCAGATATGTTGGAAGATGATAGGTTCAAGAAAGCATCAATTTTTACCAATCATCCAGTAACTGATGCATGAGAATATGATGGCTGGAGCAGTTCTCATGGGCAGCAGATCTCCTATCATCAAGGCCAGGAAGTAGGCAGACACACGGTAATATCCACTGGTGTACTGATGGCTGTGAGGACAGGAAGGAGGGGAGTTTTACAGGTTTAGAGGTTATCTAGGAAGCAGGCTCACCATGTGTGTTTGGTTTATCCTCATTCAGTTTCTGCTCTTTCTACCACTGACTCCTTCTCTGTGTGAAAGTTGCTCTGTGCTATCACTTCCCACTCTGTAAAGTAAGGGCTGATCTGTCTCACAGACCTTTCAGTCAAACTGACAGCCCTCCAAGGAATGTGAATGAAAGGCTGTGTGATTGCTAAGTAATATCGGAAAAAAGCTCCTAAATCTGTTTTCAAAGAGAATGATCCTTAACACAAGAGCATGAGGAAGTTTTAGACAGCTATTAAACTGGAGGAACACTTCATCCACTGCTAACTCATACAGGTGCTTCCAGAGAAGAAGGAATGATACCCAACAATGGGAAAACACCTTTAGGACATCAACTCACCCCCAGTTCACAGGGCAATTATATAGCATTATGACTGTTTTGCTGCTTAATTGAGCTTGTGAAAAGATGCTTTAACTGGTGAGGTGCCTAAATCCCCATTGACACAACTGGTAAGCTGCACTGGCAAGCAGGGCAGACTGGCAAGAAATGGCAGCATGGGGCAGTTTCACTATTTAGCAGCTGTTAGGGGCAATATTAAGCTGCTCTGAGCAACCTGTAGGTGGATATGTGCATTCCAGGCATAAATCTCCAGTTTCCTCTTTGCTGCACAGGATCTGTTTCTTACCCTTCCATTGCATGAGCTGGAGGCTTCTCCAAAGTACATTTTCAATATATATGTAGATATACATGTGTGCATATTATATATACATACATATACACACATACAAACACATAAACATATATATCATTATACATAATATTATAAATACATAATTAAATATAACTATAAATAATTATGAATAAAATAATCATTTATAAAATAATTATGCATAATAAAGACAATAACAATGTCATAATCAAGCACATCTCCCTAAATAGAGACATGCATTTGATTATTAGGGAAGTCTTGTAAGCCAGCCAGCAGCCCCCTTTTATCTGAGCATCAGTTGCAAAGCTTTTCCAAGAACTCTCCCATCATCTTTGCCCAGTCTCGCCACTTCAGGACCATTGCAAGACAGACTTTCAACCCTATGAGCAAGGGGGCAGGCAGGGTTCACAGTCTGCAGGATTCACACACAGATTTCAAAACCAGCTGTTACCAAAAAGTGGGTAGGAAAAGCACTTTGCAGAAAACTGTTACACAGCAAGCAAGCAAAAGCATTTCCTCCTTCCCCCAGCTCTTAGCATTTCAGCTCCCTGCTCTACAGACTAATTTAGCATTACTATTACAATCTGATGTTGCAAGGGAGCAGTCAAGTCTTTGGTGGAAATAATTTTGTTTAGGGTGTAAGATATTCCCCCCACCTCATTCCAGGGTATGAAACAGTCCAAGTGCCCTCCTACTTACACAAATAGTTTCTTGTCTCTGATGAATAGCTCAATTGCAGAGACACTGGAAAAACACTGGTTTGTGGTGACGAAAAACAAGGATCCAACCCTAGAAGGCAAAACAGAACAGTCGAAAAGTGAGACAACAGCCTAGGTCGAACACTGTCAGCCTCAGACATCATCATACCACCAAATCAGTGCTTTTCTGTCTCTGTTCACAGAATGGAGATGTTTAATTGTGCTATTGTAGATCTTAGATGTATCCTTTATCTTGTCTTTCTCATCCCCTTTGTACGTATGTGCAAGCCTGACAGAACTGTGGTCCCTTTAGGACCTCTGGCAATTCCATGCTGCAGCACACAAAGGCTTGTGAACCCAACCCTCCTTTGTGTTCCAAGTGGATCTCAGGGCCTTCCCTGCCTCTCAAAGCTGTCTGCTACAGATATTAAAATGAGCAAAGTTGTGGCTTTTCAACTTACCGATTCTGAATACCACTGCGGTCCAATTTTACACCAAAAAAGATAGCACCCACAACCAAGGCTAGGATTACAGTCACTGCAATCTACAAGTGGAGAGAAGAAAGGAAAAAGGGAGCCCTTCAGATAAGTAAATAGGAACTAACATTACTAAGTCATATGCAGGGTTTAAGATTCACACCTGCCTAAAGCCTTGCTGTTTTGAGGCAATGTATACCTACGACACACACAATTAAAATCTCTTACGACAATTTTTCAGATTTTATCCTCTTCAATTTTCTACTTCCTCTGATCTTCTTTGGCTAGGAGAGGTTAGTAGCAGCACATTCATAGAATAACCCAGTGAGGCACAAAATTAACATCACCCTAGAAGCTCCCCATACGAACCAGAGAACTGAGTACTTCTCCCCTCTCCCCAGTTTTCAGTGAAGTAGTCCTTGTGCTAAACAAAAATGGAGATTTTTTTTCCAAAGGCCACAAAGGTAGCTGAGCATTTCACTCCACTTATGTGACAGTGGCACAGGACTCTCTTGTTTTCCTATCTGCCTTTGAAAACAAATTCTGTCCTACAAATTGCAGATTGTGGGACTGACAGCAGAAAGAGTCTGTGGCTTTTAGCTGTTGTTACCTACTTGTGCAACAGATGCCTGTGGGTTCCTGATGAGATTTTTCAGGGAACGTTTGGACACCCAGTACAGCTGGGTGAGGAATCCATTTGCATAGGTAATCTCATGCTCCTGCCTGGATACTCTCTGCTTGCTTCCCCGTCCAAGCTCCACTTTCCTCAGTGCTTCTTTTGTGCTCTGATATAGGCTGGAGCTGAGATATTTCTGGTGCAGCACATCTACCAGACTGCTGTCCACATTATCTTCTGCCACTCCATTTTCACTGCTCACCTCTGAGTGAGAAAAACAAGACATGGTTTGTGATTTCTCATGAACCCAACTTTCAGACACGGTCCATCAACATGTTCAGAAACTCTGGAGGCTGAATAAAAAAAAGCACAAATGCCAGAGAATTTGAATTTTTCAAGCCTTAGCTCTGAGTTTAAGAGGCTAGCTTGAGTGAGAGGGTTTTCCTAGTTTTAATTGAACCTAGCTTTGTGGCATAAAAATGGTCACATTTTTAGAATGAGACACCAGAAAACCTTTGTTTCACTCAATTTGCGGGACATCAACGTTTGCTCTCATTCACTTCCCCATCCTCAAAAAGCACTATTACAAAAACTGTTCCCTTATAAACTTTCAGTCATAGATGTGCCACAGCATTCCCAAACAAATATTTCCAAACAGTCTGCTCACTATATTATATTAGAGAGTTTGTTCTCTAATCTAGTTGCAGTCTTTTTTGCTCTCCTGTATATACATCACTCCTTAGCATATCTACCCTGTCTTCTCTGCAGCAGCCTCCTATGTGACTGAAAACTTCTGTCACATATCTCTTGAGACTAAGCAGTTCTAGTTTTTCCAGTCTTTCTCACATAGGTTTTTTAAATTTCTGATATTTATCACTGCTCTTCTATATTACTGAAGGAAAAAAAAATCCCTTTTAAAAGTTTCTGAGCTCTTTAAAGAAGCCCAAAGCAAAGTATACCTATTAGTAGGAAAAATAAAAAGATAATGAAGTGCCCTTAGACTGGAGGAAACGTACAGAACAAAAGCTTGCCCTTCCCACATACAACTTCCCTTCTACACCAGCCAACAGTGGGTTTGTCCTTCACAATTTACCTTTTCCTGTGTCCACAGGTCTGTGATCTTCCTTGCTTGCTGCCACAGCAGTTGAATCACCATTAATTACATCAAGGAAGAAGTCAGCTGGATTGTTGAAGGGTTCACATTCATATCCTTAAAAAAACCCAAACCAAACACACATGCAACATGTTTGTATCACACAGAGCACAGCTTAGAAGGTCAGGTCTAATATTGTATCACTTTTCCATAACCCTGTTACAAGAAAAATTCACTGCTTTTCATAAGCACTAGCTTATGTCAGTAGAATGGACAGGATTTAGGAGATGGTGAATCTGAGCTATCTAAAGAGAGCTTCAAAGTTGCTTATTGTCCACTGATTTCAGGTGAGGAGAAATCTGTAACTTGCTCCTACACAGCTCAGTATGGACAACTCTTGCCTCCTTCCCAGTGCTGCTCAGCCACATCCCAATCTGTAAAACACACAATTCCTCAGTAGAGGTTCCTGGGCATCTGCTCTACAGCCTCAGGTACTTCTTTTGGAGGTTCAACTCTTTCTGGTGTTTCTTTGGTCACAAGGAAGAGGAAGGGCTGTCCAAGAGCAGCTTCTTATAATATGGTTCTATCTATGGGACAAGGAGGAAAGAAAAAAAAATAAAAAAGCCAAAGATGCTTATTCTATAACTTGCCTGAGAGAAAGGAAGTGAAGTGGGCTACTAAGAGGAGGAGTAGAAGCAGTGACATTGGTTAAAGCATCTCCCTTAAAGCCAGGGAAAGCTTACAATTTAATGTGTCCACACATCTAGACTGGATTGGAAGTTCACTCCATATTCTTTGTTCATTATAGTCAGAAACCCTCACTCTGCTTACTTGGAGAGAGGGCAGCCACTCAACACTGCAACTACTAACCCATCTTAGGATACACCATAATTTTGTCCTCTTGGTCGCCCACCTGCATTCAGCCTAGAGCAAATTTTTGGATCAATCTGTACAGACTACTGCCAAATTGCAGGCTGTGGTTCAAAACCCACCAGATCTGCCACCAGGGCCTGGTAGGACTACAAGCATCATCTTGTCTGTTGGACATCATTCTTCTACATGTCCAAGTGATTCTTGGTTTTTGCCCTGATGCCAGACAAAACAAAGGCAGGAGAAAATTTGCTGTCTGAAAATTTTTGGTTTTATCATTCCATGTTTTTGCTGTTCTAACATAATACTACCCACACTGTATGTGTACAGTCTCTGGCATCCTAGTGATAAAACAGCACAGGACTGTTGTCCCAGACTAGGGTAAAAATCTACACACAGATTTAACTCATTAGCTGGTTGCCTTTGCTCTTGGCATGGAAGACTTACCAATAGAACTAAAGTACTCCAGGGCCTGCTTTGCAGGACCATGGTACACCACCTTTCCTGAAGCCAGCAGTGTCAGACTGTCAAACAGCTTGAATATGGAATAGCGGGGCTGATGGATAGAAAATATGATGGTTCTACCTCTTCTTGAGAGCCTGAAATAGAAATAAAACATCTCTCAAATACACCACACTTTGAATTTCAGAAAGGCCATGTTAACCCAAGCAAAAAACAAGTATCCAAATCTAAGAAAAACACTTGTCAACTGCTTAGGGTCTTGACCCAGAAAAACTGTAGTTCCCCTTCTCTGTCACTGTGTCAGATGCTGCCTGCGGGACCTTCAAGACAGCACCCATCATTACAAGAGACCATCATTGCAGTCCAGGTAGACAAAGTATGATGTTGTCTGTAGGCAGCAAAGCCTGAGGGCACAGCTGTGTATAAACCCTCCTTACATGGTTCCTGTACCAGATGCCAACTTGACCAACTGGAACAGTCCCACTGCACTCAGTGGCAGTACCAGGCTTTACATAGCAGGCTGTGGAAGTCTGGCCAGCTGAGATTTCTCTTAGCTTTTCTGTTGAAGATTTACTCTCAAGAAAATTCAAAACAAGTTTTCCTTTTCTCAGACACTCTTTCAAGTGCTTTAGCACTGATGCCCAACAAGTACCCTTGACAATCAAAGACAAACAGCAGAACAAGATGTACCCAGCAAGCAAAATCAGACAACATGCTACAAACCCAGGAGGAGGATTAGGAAGTTATTGTCCTTAAATAAGCCTTTTTGGTCCTCCTTGAACATAACTTTGTTCTACCTGTCAGAAGACAGTTCATCTCCAAAACACAGGAGATGAAGTTAAACACTGAAGGTGAAGCCTTACCTGAGTTCAAAGCTGTCACCAGAGGGGGGAAAAGCCTTTGTAATAGACTCAGATGGAAGGCCAAGAAATTATGATTACAAGGCCTGACCTCCCAGTCCACCCCTCTTTGTGACAAAGGGAAGCTGTCCAAGCTACATCTGCTTTTTGGGCTCTAATCCAAGGCTTGCTGTGGAAAGATTCCCATAAACTTTAAAAGGCTTTGGACACAACCCAAATAATTTAGTACCACTTCTGCATCTATTTGTCTAGCTTTTCTTTTTTTTTTTAAAGAGCGCTATAGATACTCATAAGAACATTCGTTTTTTTACTAATGACTTGACAACAAAATTGCAACAGAGCCCAGAAGAACTGACTCTTACTTCTTCAAAAGGATGAGGACTGCATTTGCTGTGCTGGCATCAAGGCCAGTTGTTGGTTCATCCAGAAAAAGGACTGGTGGCTCTGTGATGAGCTCCATCCCAATGTTGGTTCTCTTCCGTTCCCCTCCAGACACTCCCCGGATCAATTCGGTTCCTACCTACAAGCAGAAGAAATCAGATATTTTCAACAAGACTTAGTCAGTGCATGCTCTGGAGTTGAGGACTCTCTGCACCCAGCAGCCCTTTTCATTTTCAGAGTCCTATTAATGAATTCTAGGGCCAGGAGCAGATGATGGCTTTGACTCAGTGTGAGGGACTGTGCAGCAGTAAGCTGAGCCTGATTTTCAGAAGTACCAGGTGCCGTATGACTTCAAGGGACAAGGATGACAGTGATAAGGAAGCGACAGAATGAGACCACAGCAGTCAGAGGAGGCATTGGTGTTCAGGGATGCCTTTTGTTGGTAGCTTGCCTGCTACTAAAGTATGAGTGGGGTAAGTAAAGTAAAAATAAAGTAAGAGTGAAAATGCTGCTGGGAGGAACAAGCTCTGCACAGAAATTCTCCATCACAGACCAGTTTTCTATCCCTCACTGCTTTCAGCACTGTAAAAACAATTTCCCTATCTAGTCCCACAAAGCCAGGAAGCGACTGAGCAGCTTTCCAAGGTACAATGACTAAGCGACTTTTTCCCCTATGAATTTATACAACACGCTGGACGTGGTCCAAAATCTTCCCCTTTTAGTAGCAAATACACAGACTTCTTTCCAAGCTCCCTCCTGAGCTGGAGACTAATTTCTTTCACGCAGTATGGTTTACTCAGGTTCCTGTTTAGCTTCATGTGGCTGCACTACATACACCATACTGCCCAGAGACAAGCAGTTCAGTTGCCAGAGGTAGTATGATTTCTGAGAAAGGTACTCTCACTGCTCACCTTGGCATCAGCCACTTTGCTTAATCCCAGCTCACTGATTATCTGGGTGACTCGCTCTTCCTTCTCTTTAATGCTGATAGAGCTGGGGAGTCGCAGGGCAGCAGAGAATTGCAGGTTCTCCCTCACCGTCATTGTGCCCATGACAACATCATCCTGAAAGCAGTAAAAAGAGACAGTTGGAAAGACTCCTCAGCTACCTGAGAGGACATCAGAGTTCCAGTAGTGGCAGTCGCTGTTTGAGGACCACAGCGGAAACCGGACTGAGAGACAACTGCTTCAAAATTTACATGACATGAAATTCAAGGTCACTCAGTAGCAGTCAAGGGGAGAATGCAGCTCTGCAGGCCTCACAGCTTCCACCAAGCACCACCTAAGCCTGCCTTCGGGCTCAGGAGTTCAAGTGCAGACAGTACCACTCTGTACAGGACGTGCATTTTTCTTACTGGCCAAAGTGAGGCAGTGCAGGTAGCTGATTTTGTAAAGAGTTACATTTCTGTCAGCCCAGCTGAAGCCAAAAGACGTTGCTAGTGCTCAATGTTCAAGGTAGTGACATTCAGGGAGTCACCCAGGTCAGCTCTGCTGCCAATTACAAGTTGTATCTTGTGGTCTAAAGCACCTGCCAAGTTCAGCTGCCAATGAGGAGTTTTCCTCAGGTCCTTGCTGGCAGCAGCTTCTCAGAGAAACAAGAATATTGCACCAAGATACTCCTAAATTTTTCATGTCTCAAATAATCTATAACTCTTGGACACAAGACTGTATTCTAAGGGCTACCCCTTTACAAAAGCTTCAACAGTCATATTCACTTTGACTGAGAATCAAATCTATCCAGTTGACAGACATCTGGGCAGCTTACACCAACCTGCAACAACCATGAGCCAAACAGAGTTGTCATCAGGTCCATCCAGGGCTCCATGACTCTCCATCATCCCTACTTTGATATTTGTGCCAATTCTGCATCCTACCATGAGAGAAGGGTTGGGCAGCTGCTGAAAAACACGCCTGTTATATCAGGCACTTTTCAAATCTAATGCCCTTTGGAAAACACATCCCCAAAGCTGCAGGGCAGCAGATTCTTGCCTGCTTTGGGACTCTTCTCACATCAGATATAGTTGATCAGTAGCACAAATGATGTGTCAGCCAACCATGTTTTGCACTGGAGTTAACAGAACGTGCTGTTTTGCTGCCAAAGCTGGTTTAGGCATTTCCCATCATCCCACAGCCCCCCAGTCTTTGACCCTAGCCTCCCATTCCCCACCCTCAGATCCACCAATACAACTGTTGGGTCATCACACTGGAAACTAACTGTGAATTTAAGCTACCTAAACACCAAACATAACAAACCATGGCATGACATCTTCACTCTCAAGGCATGAATGGAGAGGCTACCAGCAGCTTTATAGAGATAACACATGACTTAGCATGTCTATACGCTTATCTGCATAAAACTGATCCTATAATGATGGATGTATTTAGGATATAAGTGTTGTTTGTATGGGCCATCTTTACTGATCTAAGAAGTACTGTGCAGGGTGGGAGGGGAGAGACCATTTAATGTCTCATCAAGTTGCCTATCATTTTAAGCTTATGACTAGTTGCTTTGGACATTTGAGAGACAAATGTCTCAAACTGGGATCGCTTGCAAGAAACTTCCTGGCCATTCAATAGGATCTGGGGACCCTTGACATGCAGAATCAAGATTCAGCACCAGTCTCGTCACATGCAGAACCTCTCAGCTGGCAGCTTTCAGCTGCCTATTTCACATCTGCCTGCAGTCAGAACCCTGGATGGTTTCCAGATTTGGATGCTCATATGGCTGCCAAGAATCCCCTTCTCCCCAGGTCCCCCAGGGCTTTGAGGGTCTATTATTGGTTCAGGCCTCCACCCAGTTCCGCAGATTCAGATGGCTTTTCCTGTCTCTGCAAGGAATGAAGCTCTGTCACAGCCAGCTAGAATCAGAGGAAGAACAGCAGGGATCTACTTATTTCCTAGAATTATTGTCTGATAGTTTGAAGGCACTTCTGCCAGATAGAAATGATTCTGAGTTTAACAACAAGAGATTTGGGGTGTCATGGGTTTTTTCCTCACTGTTTCATTTAAATCTTTGCTAGTACTTCAGGACAGAGCCCAAAGAACAAGCCACAGCAGCCCAGTGGTTTGGGCAGTAGCCTATGTGGCTTTGGGAAGACAAACACCTATGTGCTTGACTAGGTCGGAGTAACAGTTTGATCTTCTTGTCTTCCATATCCCAGAAAAATAATAAATATGTAACATCGGAGTCATCAAATGAGACTCTGTGGGGACCACTGAAAACTACCTAACCTAGTAGTTCATGCTTTGCTCATTTTATCTGGTCTTCCATCCCAAGGGCTCCCAGCCCTTACTGAATGTGGTTACTCACCTGTACAACATATCCCGAGATACACTTGAAATTTGGAGGTTGTGGAATGCCATCTATAAGCACTTCTCCAGACAGGCCTGCTGGGTCCTTTCTGGCAGCCAGCACATCTAGGAGACTTCAGACAAACATTAGGCATTAGGTTTTGCAATAACAGCTGCTTTTACCTTTGACTGGATAAGTACCACCAGTCAGGACTGCAGTTACAGCCTGCTCACAGCATGCCGCAAACCAGGACACAGAAAGGGGCTTCCTCTACTCTGGGGGCTTTAGCTCTTTGTACAGAAAGCCTGGGATACATACAGGATTTTCCAGCACACTGTGTGCCACAGCAGTATGGCAGTATACAGACACTCACAATTCACAACAGCGAACCCCCTACAGACATAAACTCAGTCTGTGTATTTACAGCTAACCTCAAATGCACAGAGACAAAAGCACCCTGCCGAGTTGCTGCAGGCTGCTCTCCAGCCAGGGGAGCACAGAACTAATGCCTTTGATCTCAAGGAAATTAATCCAAATTGGTATAAACAAGACGGGAGTTAAGATTAATTCTAGAAAGTAATTTCTTTTAACGTATCACTGCATTCTCCTTACTGCCAGTGCAGAGGCCAGCCTGTCTGCTAGCTAAGTAAACTGCCCTGAGGAAGCACTGCTCTTGAAAGCATCCTGAGTAACCAGCACCTTAGAAAGGAAGATCAAGGGTCACCACAAAGACACCTGTGTGAACCCCGGCCATATTTACCAGTGTCTGACATTTTCAAAGGCAGAGAGTGACAGAAAGCTCTTTTGCCATGGTTATACAGGAGAGAAAACAGCACTAACACCATTAGTTGGAGACAGTCTGCACGGTATTTCTCTATGCTTTCATCTAAAAACCTCAAGCATATGGGCACCCCCATCAGCAGGCCACAGTCAAGTTGGGGTGAGGATCCAGAGCATCCTATAGGCTCTAGTATTGTATTGCAACATATTCCTGTTAGTTGTCAGAGAGGGGTCTGGCCTAGCAGCTTCAAGGAAATCTGGCTGCAGTGAGTTCGCAGGGGATGACATCTATCATGCCCATGAGCTTGCACCCCATCCCCATCCCATTACCAGTAAGGACAGTGCCTACATCTGAGCTCCAGTCACCCCAGCTCCACCTAGTATGTAAATTCAGGCCACCACCAAAGGTGACTGCAGTAGTATGGACCAATTGGAGCAGATAAGGGCTGTGGCACTGCTGCAGGACAAGAACAAAGCTGATAGAGTGGCAGGAGGTCAAACTGCATCACTAGATTTCTCAGAGGCATGCAAAGGTCTGAGCCTGCAAATCCCTCACATCTTCCCTAACCCGCAGAATCCCAAATACCCTTTGAACAGCTGACTGTCCACTTAAAGGAGCAGATGAAGGTACTCACGAAGATTTTCCACTCCCCGTTGGCCCCAAGATAGCATTCAAGCCTGGCTTCATAATGCCACTGGAAGAAAGAGTTATTTACAAATGAAGGACTGTCCATATGCAGTTTTTAGTAGAGCTTTTCAAAATGCTGTTGAAAGGAGTATTAAAAACTTCTCCTTAAATCTGGAATCAATGTGCATTTTTCCTTTCTGCCCCTGACTGCCCATCAGAACATAATCAAAGCTGGACATAAAAAACAATCTACAAAAGACAGATGTTAAGTGTCTTCCCTGCTGAACTAGTTCTTGAGCTTTCTGCTGCTCATTTCCTCTGGCTGTGGCTTGAACAACAGTTAGGGGAACCCTCAGATCTTCTGGCAGAAGAGTTCACACAAGTTTGGTCCTAATTTGCTCAAATCGATAACTGAAACTGCTCCAGCTATATCCCAGCTATTTTGCCTAAAAGCAAATCACAAAGTGCTCACTTGAGCTGCTGACTGGCAGGAGGGTAGTCATTTCTGTACCAGCTGGATCTGGAAGGTGACATGAGGTCACTGATTCACAGCAGCAGATTAATTCCTACCCTCTAGCATCTCATTTAAGCAAGAACTTACTAAACATTATGAAGGATCTTCTTTTCCACAGTTTTCCGTTTACAAAGGAATCCACTGGACTGCTTAATGGAGTACTGGATGTTATGGAAACTCACGACAGAGCCCCGAGGAGATCGGAGGGACTCTTGTGTTGGGAGAGAACGTTGGAAATTGCCTGCTCCTTCCTCTTCTCCAACAGAAATAATGCTGTGATCAAATGTGTCTGCCATCATGTCTTTGTTACACAGGTCAAGCTCCACTGCATGGAGATGTTTGAGGTCACTGTTGTTTTGAGCAGTTCCCATCTGTTGAGACAAAGAACACAGAAACAAGCAAGGAAGGAGACGTGAGCAAAGATTTCTCCAGAAAGTGTCTTGGAAAAGCAAGTTCACGCACACCACACCAATCCTTACATGTGCCAAGTTTCCAAAAGGATGGACATCCGCACTGGAAGACATCCAGTAGTCTCCAAAGGCACGGAAACCACAGATTTAGAACTAACCTTTAAGAACAAGACATGTATGTTCTTGAAGTAAGTTATGCTTGCTGAAAGAGCATCTAATGAGGAAAAACCAAAGCCCATCTGTGATGGTCACTGTCTTTTCCAACACAGCAGGGACCACAAATGGAAACTGCTACCACTTACTTAAGCTGAAGAGACTCAAGCTCCTCTTCTTCAGTCATAACATGCTTACCTCCCCACAAAGCCAGCAGAGCAACCCTATTAACAAATCTCTATGAAGAACCACGGGAAGAAAAATGGCTGTGCTTATAAAAATGAGGCCAGCCACATGCAGCCTGTTGCCTGGCACAAGTTTGTTTCGGAGATACCAATGTGATTAAAGTAACAATTATACGTGCTGCTTATCATGTTTCAGTTACACAGTATCAAGATATTTTACAACTACAAATAGGAAGAGAAATTTGAATTTGTCTGCAGGCACTATTTATGCTGAAGTACAGAAGGAATGACCTCTTCCATGAGGAAGGATCTGGGATAGGCCAAAGTAAGAAAAAACATGGTACAAACTGGTACATTATGGAAAATTAAATATGCTATCTGCTTATTATCATAAAATTATAAAGCATTCTGGTTCAAGCAGATAAGCTGCCTCAGTAGCTCACGATGGGACACCTGAAAGCAAGAACATGTAAACAGCAAAGGGAAGGAACTGTTCTCCCTGTCCTACAAAGTAGGAAATATACCAATGTGGGTATAACTATTAATATTAATTCACTTACTAATCACAGTAGCACAGCTGTTTTACAAGGGGCTGCTTCCCTTGCTGTAACTGATGGAGACCAAGTCTGGATCCCTTCACTCATTTTGAAAATAGAAAAAGGTTAAAGTTCTTACCTTGACATTACATGTTAGGAGTTTGGAAACCCTACATTCCCCAAGTTCTGCAGCTGGGTATAACATATGCCTTTCAGCCAGGGGCCCTTGCAGATATAAACATTCCTTTCCCCTTTCCAGAAAACTACAGCAATAAAGAGAGGAATTACTACATACCCCTTCCAGAAATTGAACACAACAGTTAGGCTAACACAAGTTAGTCTAATCATTTACTCCACTTCTAGCTTCTGACATGGTAGTGTTTGTTGGAGAGCTAAAAATTTACTGTGACACTGGGAAAAGCCAAGGTGCTCACGAGGCTAAAGGAGCAAGGAGAGAGATCTGTCCACAAAGACATCCATTGGTAGTTCCTTGAATTTTGTGGGAAGATAGATGTATCACATCAGTCACCCCTTTCCCACTATCTGCACTTCTTTCCCCCCAGGACTGAGAGGGTGATAACCAATAGAACCACCACTGCAGCAGCAGTAAGACTTTGCAGGGAGAGAGATGGTCATCCTTTTAAGAAACTGGATCTACAAAAGCCATATTTAAAGAAATGGGAATTGTCCTTTTGTCTCTGCCTCTTGCTATTACTGAAAGCTCAACAAGTTGCAGTAGTTTTTTCCTGTATAAGTAAAATAAAAGCGGTGAGGAAAAGGAAGGGTTGTTTAGCTTGGACACAATGCTGAACTCTAAGGCTGGTCACCCCTGGGAAAGCCTTGCTTATGGGAAACAAGATAGGATATGCTGGTTACATCAGCAAGAGATGGTTTATATATTTGAAAGGTTGCACAACAGATTAGGAGAAGAAAAAAAGTCCGGATGAGAGTAACGCCAGCGAGAAAGACCTTGTCAGACTTTTGAACATCCGTCTTGTATCTGTCCTGGATCGGTTCTTTGGTTTAGCTCACCGTAAACCCTTTCATGCAGGTTTTTGCAAAGCTACCGACTAGCACTGGCAAGCCAAACCAGTGCTGCGGGTGTGTGCACGGATGGTTGAGGGAAGCTTAGCAGAAGCTACAGGTAGGCTCGGGCTGCCAGCACTGACCCTCTGCCTCCCACCTGGCCCCACGGGCCGGTTCCGCTGCTAAGCCGGAGCCGCGAACCGACCCGGCCGACCACGCTCCGCTTCCCTCCCCGAGTCCCCTCCCGCCCGCG